GTTTTACGCGTAATTATACCCGACGGAATAGCAAAACATTCCTATAAAAATGATTATATAGATATTACAGTCCCCGTCGGGTCATACGAGATACGCGACATTGAATCGTTTTTGCAAAATCAATTTAAAGAGCAATTACCGCCGGGCGACGGTATTTGGGTTACAGCTAACGCGACCAGTTTGAAAACCGAAGTGTCGAGTTCACGTGATATCGACTTTGACGTGCCAAACTCCATAGCACCGTTTCTCGGGTTTGAAAAAAAACGGCTAAAATCCGAGCGAGTACACGTTTCAGATCACTTGGCCGCGGTGAATTCATTGTTGTGTATTCGTGTCGGCTGTAGTATCGCCACGGGGGCTTATGTAAACGGCACCAACACACATGAGATATACGAATTTTATCCTTCACAGCCGCCCGGGTATAAAATAACCGAATCCAGTTTACACTTGATTTATTACCCCGTTTTAGTACGGCAAATCGATTGTGTAACGCTCACTTTGTCCGATCAAAACGGTCGATTAATTGATTTTCGCGGTGAACCAATTTCGGTGAGACTACACGTTAGAACCGTATTATAATGGCTCTAGTGTTTTGTAAAAAGAATCGTAAACGTGCACCGTCCCAACAAAAAGTCTATTTTTCACCCGTTAAAAAGCGTCACGCTTTTAGCAAACCGAACAGTCGACCTTCAACTCGACCAGCGTTAACAGCAGACAGTGTTAAGACGTTAGCGCAATTAGGCTACAATGTCCGCAGCACTGCGAGACTCACTGGACGTAAATCAAAAGCCCGCGTTTGACGAGAGCATTACGAAACGTCAGTATCACAGTTATCAGCCTTATTCTAACGTAGCTTTGGGCAATAACGACGAAATTCGAATCGCAATTAATCAACAGGATTTATACACTTTCCCGGCCGAATCATATTTATACATGCAAGGGACTATCAATAAACCGGCCACCGTAACGGAAGAAGTACTTTTTGTCAACAACGGCGCTATGTTTCTTTTTGACGAAATCCGCTACGAATTAAACTCTATTGAAATAGATAAAATTAGAAACCCGGGCATCACGACTACGATTAAAGGATATATTTCAATCCCGCACGGTTCAGTGCACCGTTATCAAAACGCCGGTTGGGATAGCGATGGCAATAAAACCGGTACCTTTGAACTTTGCATACCCTTGAGTCATATTTTCGGGTTCGCTGAAGACCATAGAAAATTGATTATTAACGCCCGGCAAGACCTAATTTTGCATCGAGCCGCGTCGGATGTAAACGCGCTGAAAACGGCAAAGGACGGGTGTACTGTTACACTGAATAAACTACTGTGGAGAGTACCACACGTACACGTTAGCGATACCGTGCGGCTGAAGCTATTGAAAACCTTGGACTCACGCCGATCGCTTTCGATCGGCTTCCGCAGCTGGGAATGTTTTGAGTACCCGCATCTGCCGAGGACGACTAAAGTTTCTTGGGCCGTTAAAACCTCATCGCATACCGAAAAACCTCGGTACGTCGTGATAGCTTTTCAGACTAACCGGAAAAATAATATCACTGCGGATATGAGCAAGTTTGACCATTGTTCGATAACCTCACTGAAAGTTTTTCTAAACAGTGACAGTTATCCGTATGACCCACTATCTATCGACTTTTCTACTGATAAATACACAGTTTTATACGACATGTACGCTGCTTTTCAAGAATCATATTACTCGGGTGACAGATCTGAAAATTCGCCTTTGCTGTCAAAGGCATTGTTCAAGTCAGAAGCACCCATTTTCCTATTTGACGTTAAATTAGCACAAGAGGCAGTGAAAACTACGACGTCAGATTTACGTTTGGAGATTGAATCGAGTATAAACATACCGGAATCAACATCAGCTTTTTGCCTGGTGCTACACGACAAAATGTTTGAGTATAATCCGTTAAGCGGCCAAGTTAATAAACTCCTATAGATTTACCACCAATTGTACATACGTTTACCGTATACAGAGACCAGATATTAAATTTAAGTCAGCACCTTTTTTTTTTTTGGTTTAGCAAAATATATCAACATAAGGTATGTGTAATAAAATTATCCAACACAATTGTTCGATGAATGGTTTTTTTTTTTTATTAATAATAAATATATACATTTTTTTTTACAAATGGCATTTTTTTTTTTAAAAATTTAATTTTCGCCTAGCCGACGGGTTTTTTCTATTTATTAGCCTGGGCTGAGCTGCTGTTTGTTGCGCCTCGTCCGATGAAACAGCTTGTTCAATTTGCTGCTCCAACTGCACAACTTCATCATCCAGGCCCCTGGCTTGGCTAGGGTCAAAATCTGGACTCGGAGGGCTGGGCGATATATTACCAGTAGCAGCAGCACCATCAGCGTCAGCAGCAGCAGCATCAGCAGTAGTAACGGCAAACGGGTCTTCTTGATCTGTATTTAAAATATATATTTAGATTCTCAGAACGTATAATTATATGTTTTTTTTGTTTACCAAATATCGCATCGATGGTTGCCTGCTCATCATTTGGTTGGATTGTTGATATGCTGGGAACATAATCCCATTCTTCGGCTGTAGTGCAAAAAAATTAATTATACCCTATTTCAGTACTCTTTATCGGTTTATAACTCACCAAATACTTTTTCTAGAACGCCCTGATCTTCCAAGTAAATGGGCTGCCTCTCGGCCACATCATCATCATCCGAGTCATCGCAGAGGTCAATTATTCCCGAAGAAATATCCGACCCCACGCCTGACTCGGAAAACATGTCTGGTGAGTTTGTTGAAAAAGATAGCTCTATTGGCCGAGCATACTCTTCGTCATCGGTCTAAACATCAACCATAAAGTTCATCAAGCTGTTTATATTAAAATACGTTTGTACTTACGCTATAGTCGTCAAAGTAATTTCGGCGCCTCCTGTATCTGTGTGGCGTGTCGCTTTCGTCAGACATTGTTGAAACAAACTGTACGTCATTCGACCGTTTTCGCCAGTTATATAGCGCATTTTTTAGCCATCTGCTCGTGACAAAAAAATTAACCAAACAAAAGTGAAATTTTTACTATGCTATAAAAATTTTTTTTTTAACGGACAAATGCAAAATTTCATGTTTATTGCGTTATCGGTGCCCCGAATAATTATCAGGTTCACCGTCTTGAGACACGAGCCGGCTGATGTAATATTTCACCTGGTCGCAATTTTGTTCAGACCACTTTTTAATTAGGTTTAAATTAATTGTAACCCGCAACGGACATTGTTCACAGGCGTCGTGAATTTCATAGCAGTCGTAACATCTGCCGTCGTTGTCGGCCGCACCGTGACCAGGAGGCCCGAATCGTTTGCCACACTTTGTATTGTATTCCGGGCGGGTTTGTAAAAACCCGATTAGCGGGCAACCTATTTGATCAATACAGTAAACTTTAAATTCGTCCGGCAGTAATCGCCTGAGGAAATCGCGTTTTCGACAGTCCGTCGTAAATACGGTTACTTTACAAACTCCTATTGCAGGTGTCAAATTCCACCTGATTGACCGTTTTGCGTGCTCCAGACTACCGTATTTAAACGTCGTTGCGAAAGTCAGGTTTTCAAACAACGCTATTATTTGAAGGTTACAAAAATTTGGAGTGGTATTCCCGCAAAAAAAATCAACAACACTGTACTCTGTGAATATCATAATATTACTCAACGCCGCCGCCGTTATTATCGCCTCGAACGTTTTACCACTACTAACACGACTTTGCACTCACTTTTAACCATCTGCCTGTCAGGTGTACTCGCACGACGTACAGTAGCACCCTCGAGTGTTTAGCATACCGGTAGCACCAGGTGGTTTTTGCCACCGGCCGGAATGCGAAAATTATTCAAACTGCTTTGCCGGTAACCCAAAGTAATCGTAGCTCTCCTGACCGGTTGATTTATTCACTGTTAAGCCAAAAATTCCGAGGATCAACTTTTTTTTTTTTTATTCTTTACCACCCAAAACCACTTGGGTGTGTTGTTCTGTATTTGCTAATAAGGACTAATTTCAAAATTGGTGGGAGAGAATTTTTCTCTGAAATCATCGGGGGCCCCGATTCAGAGATCAGTTTTTAGTTTCAGTATAGTATCAGCAATAATGGACGCATCCCAGAAGCGACGTGCTATCCAGTGCTTGGCCGACGGTAAGTTGCAATTTTTTTTTTCAATGTTTTCAATTTTAATTTCGATTGAAAATTTTTTTCAATTTTTTTTTCCCTTTAGGTTACAAAGGCCTTTATGCTGGCATTCGCATAGAGCTGGAAATGATGGGGACAAACTTCCTCATAGTCGGGCAGTCGCCGCCGGGGGGTAAGTCATTTTTTTTTTATCTATTTTCTTATAATTAATATTTTTCTTCTACGCTATACAGAGGAGTTACCGGCGTTGGTTACCACAGACTGGGGTATTCACTCCACCCAGCCTGCTCAAGACGGCCCGACAACTAGTGATCAGCCGCCGTCGCCACCATCGGCTTAACGCCCCCCACACACCGATGTCCATAGCCATTTTTTTTTTTACAATATTCGTATTATTTTTTTTAATAGTATTATTATATTATTATTATTATAAGTAATGCTTTAATCATTTTTTTTATTTTCTTTATTCACCTTTTCTTAATTGCTCTAATCATTTTTTATATTTTCTTATGGGTTGTGTGTGTGTGTGTGTGTGTGTGTGTGTGTGTGTGTGTGTGTGTGTGTGTGTGTGTGTGTGTGTGTGTGTGTGTGTGTGTGTGTGTGTGTGTGTGTGTGTGTGTACAAGTGTACGCATTTGTGTATGTTTTATAATGATATCAAACGGATAAAGGTAACCATCACTTTTTTTTTTGTACAAGGTATATACTACATTTTACGGGTTGCGTGTACGCATTTGTGTATGTTTTATAATGCTATTATATCAATCAAACGGATAAAGGTAACCAACACTTTTTTTTTTGTAAAAGGTATATATACTTCATTTATTGTGATACAGGTAAACAATTTTTTTTTTTTACAAACTATTGCAATGGTTTTAGATAATTAACAGGCTAGTCGTATAACAGATATTCTAAAAAATATTTTATCAATCGAATAAAAAAACAAACACACCAATGCACATCCGTCCAATGGTCTGACATATTGTTTTGAATTTTTTTTTCAAATAACGTGTTCCATTTCTACATCGCCCACTGTGTTGGCCACCGCGGCCAGTTGAGTTGTTGCAGCTGCCCTGTAAACACGTTATTATTTTAGTTTAATATATATTTCCAACATTCTTAATTTTACATACTTATCAATTTGTTCAATAAGTTTGCTCACATCAGTCAAATGATCCCGTATTTCCTTTTTCTCTTTGTTTCCCTCTTTGCTTTGGTCGGCTGCGTCGCCGTCGTCGTCACCGTCGTCGTCGTCACCACTTTTCCACGGCCTGTAATACAATTAATTATTTAAAATACTTTCATCGAAACATCAGCAGCAGCAGTAGCAGCAGCAGCCGAAAGAGAGAGACATTACCCGGCATAATCCTCATCGACTACGTCGTCAAACAGTCGTTGAAAGTCCCAGCTATGGATTGGCGCGTTCATTGCTTTTGCTTCTAAGCTTTGCGGTGTCGATTCTTCAGCGGATAAAGACCGTAAGTACTCGTCCCATATAAATGCCACTATTCGCTGGTGATCGTAAATCAAAAGCTCCTTGTACAACGGATGTTTTTTTCTCGGCATTAGGTTAATCGGCCAATTTATTATTATATTGCATACACCCTGGATGGGCGCGGTTAGATATCTTATAATAACCTCGGTTTTTATAGCTTTTATTAACGCTTTACATTGGTCAGTTAACATTTCACTAATTACCGATTTTTCCGTCACTGCCCGACGCATTATTTCACGTTGCCGTTTAATCGACGTCAAATTATCCTTAGTCAATGATATTCGATTACCAGCGTATTCGATCACCATATACGAGTTTGAAAAACAACGCGTTTTTTTAATAGCCAGCCCTGGTATGGGGATTACCGCTCTCTTACCGTCGTTGCCAGTATCGTCAGTCATTATTTTAATAAGATTGTCCAAAGCGCCCAACAATCCGATAAACTTATCGTGCTCCATACACAAACACGCTGTAGCACATACTATAAGTATTGCTTGTTTGTACGCACTGTTCTTTTGTGACCATTCGCATCCGATGTGAATCAATTTTCTCTCGTTCAGGTTAACCGTAAACACCGCAGCCGATATCAGCTGAGTATCAACCGTGTTGATATGCCATCTCGGCAAAATTCGTATTTCTTTTTTCCCGTAGCCACTCATAGTACACACACGCACGCGATATCACTTCACAACTAGATAACCGTTCCACAAGAACTCTTCACGACGTACTACTGGTGGACCCATTTAAAAGACCCCTTTTATGTATCTATACGTTGCATCCAACAGCCAATGATATTACAGTCTGTGTCCCGCGCAAATGCATTTCTCTATTTTGTTGTCAGCTGCTGCTGCTGCCGCTGATATTTATCATTATTCAACTACACTAAAATGGCGCGCTTTTTTTATTCACTATCATACCACCGAGGATACCTTCACAGTACAATTCTTATCACTAATAACAATCTGTTATACCACATGGATACCCGCATTTTTTACCGCCAAATTTTTTCTTATCACTGATAACAATCCGTTATACCACATGGATACCCACATTTTTACCGCCAAATTTTTTCTTATCACTGATAACAAAATTGATAACAATTTTTTTTGATAAAGGAGGATCATCCTCGAGGATCACTGATAAGAGAGGATGATCCTCACCCAACTATATACTACTTATATATATATATATATATATATTTAGCTTCGATGCGAGGCTGAGAAGGTATTGTTTTTACAATAATGTGTTTTCATTTTTTTTTTTTTTTTTTTTTAGTCTGGACCCACGATATCTCGTAAACCGCTGAACCGATTTCTTCGTATAGCAACTCGTAGATCAGAAATCATACCTGGAAGGTACTTTATCAGGCTAAAAATTAAACATTAACAAACCAAAAAAGTATCATAATCATTTTTCCATAGAAAGGATAGAATTTTTTTCTTTATTTCACTTTTTCAAGCAAAGTTGTAGAGATTTAGATCTGAAAATTAGACCATAGGTAGAACTAAAATCGAACTATACAAAATAAAATTTTCTCAAAAATCTGTAGTCAATTTTTTTTTTATTAAGGAAGAACTCCAAAAATAGGGTAAATTTACACTTTAGCCGTAGTCAGTTTCTAGGTTGCTATGTGTGTGTTTGAATCATCAGTCAACAGGTAATTAAAATATTTTCATTATATTGTTAGTTATGATATATGGATAACTATGACAGTATTTTTATAGACAGACGATCAACCCTAATCGTATCCACCCAGCACAAGACTAAATATTAAATTTTAAGTGTATTATTGCTGGTCTTCTAAACCACTATAACTAGTTTGAACATACTATCCATAGATTCCCAAAAATAGTGAACTTTGTGCTTATTAAAACTTATACATGGATTAACTACGAACAATGAACTTTATCTGACTACTTTTATTTTTTCGTTTGGCAATTATCTGACCATTATTAAATCATAAAGAAAAAAACTAAATGTTAAGATTACCTTTCATAACTTATTTAGAACTAATCAGAATGCCAAGCCAACTTATTACAGTTTTTTTTTTAAAGTTAAGTATGAAAAACAGCTTGAACTTGAATTGTATTTTAAAGATACAAAATCAAAAATTCAAATACAATTTCGGCAATACCGTAAAATAAAAACATATTTCGCAGTGCAACGTTGTTATTTTATTTACAAAGCTGTTTTTTAGCATTGATGCTGAGCTAGTGTAATCCTATTACATGTGTTTTTTTTGTATCCGGAAACACGATAACATACGCAACATAGTCATTGTTCGTTTTGACTAACATACTTACATTATTCCTAAGCGTAGTTTAAACGTTTTTTTAACCAGTTATTGAATTTACAAAAACAAAAGCCATCGTAAAAGCGGCTTTTTAAACTTAAATGGTAACGCATATATTCCATAAACTTTTTAAATTTAGAAAACGTTCAAAAAATTTGAATGGTTGATAACCAGTTTTGGACAAGCATTTTGAAAGTGATGAGAGTTTAGAAAACAGGGCGGAAAAACAAGTGGGCCCCCAACCCACTTCTTTTCCGGCAGTTAAAAAAAATATCACACTCTACCTTTCCTCCTGCCCCGATAAAAAAATAACCTTGTATATAATATATATTAGTTAACTTGTATGTATTGTAACGTCGCTACTTGACTAGCTTACCAAACTAGTCTAAGTGCTCGTCGATAAGGCTAAAATAGACGGCCCCTGACGGGAAACGGTTGGCTAGTCCGCTTTACGCCTAAGTAACCCTAAAGTCTCCTTTATAAATTTAATATATCGCCCGAGGAGCTTAACGGGCGGTCACACTAAAATAACGGTAGTCGACACTCAGGTTATGCAGGCTACAAAGTATTTATTAATAACTAAAGAAGCAGTGGTGAATCAATATACAAAATATGCAATATATATATATATATATATATATATATATATACAGTCTGACCTGAATACTGGCTGGTGATGTTTGGATCAGACCGGAGTCGAGCGGTGCGCACACAGAGATCACCGGTGATAACCGTAAGCGAATTAAGGTACACAAATAATAATAAAGAAGGCCGTATGGTATGCGTAGGCGCGTGATGGTAAATCTCGACTCCTGAGCATAACAATAGTATGCCACGCGAATGTCATCTCAGTGTGTCAGCGCTCCCTACCTAATTAGGTCATTAGTGATGTGTCAATAGGTTCGGGGCGCGAAGTAACGGTCGGGTGAAATGTGACCGTTACAACTTGCCCCTCCCCCGTTGAGGTCCGACCTCGGACCTTGCCATACAAAACAAAGGGTAGTCAACAAAAAGAAAAACTAATAAAAATAAAATGTTGAACAAAGCTCCTGAAAACAAAGGTATGGATAAGAGGGGAAGGCACACCTATAGCTTGGCGAACTTCTGGCTAGCTTCTGGTGTATTTCCTAACTTCTCGGCCTGATGAGTCCTTGAGGAAATCCCTCGGTTGAGTCTAGCCCATGGTCGTGTTCCCGTCACATAGGGCTGACTCGCCCTGTCGTCGCTTTGTTGATAAAGCTCGGGGCAAAAATCCTAAATCCATTGGTCTTCTCAAAGTTCCCCGTACTCATAGTGGCCTTTGTATAATATTATTAATTACATTCAAAAAATGAAATTGAGATTAATTTATGTAATTATGGGTCACAACAGGTGTGAGTGTGCGTCCTACGAAAAATGGTGATAAAAATTAAAATGTCATGGAATCACATATTTACGCATTTAAGTTAACTTAATGGTCGTGGGGAAAAAGCTGCTTAAAAAACCACGCCATATACAAATGTCCTTAAGTTAAAGAACGCACACATCAGGGGTGTTTTTAAATCGTGTGGAAGACTTGAAAGTTAAAATTACAAGTCAAAATAAAAGAAAATAGCCCAGTATCCAGGTCGTATTCGTTTTTTGTTTTTATCAGAATATTATATAAACATTATGCAAGCGATACAAAAATACAGGATTGTTTCTTGACGTTAGCAGACTTGCGCCGTAGGTATCGCATGCGCTTATCATAATTACTCAAAACGGAAACTATACTATACAATGCTTTATACAATAGAAATCAAAATAAAAGCATTAATAAGTACAAGCATTGTCCTTAAAAGGACATTTTTAAAATATCATGCTGTGCCATATACCGCTGCTTGGCTCTAAAACCCAAAACAAAATATATATATTTTATATTCATTAGTGATGTGTCAATAGGTTCGGGGCGCGAAGTAACGGTCGGGTGAAATGTGACCGTTACAGTATATAATATATATATCCAAGCGAACTTTCCATCAACATGTTTTATGTAATTACGAACAACAAAACAACAAGCACCCATTTGAACTAAGTAATACAGTGTAAACTTTTACTTATATATATAAATATTTATAATTATAGCGAAATACAGTTTTTTTTTTTAAACGCATCGTTTTTATGTTCTAACTAGTACACAAGTACTACAAGTAATGTAGACAAAAAAATACATAATATGTGTCTTACATAAGATGGATCACCCGGTAAAATGTTTATTTAGAGTATGTGCGGTATGGATGAAAACTTTTATCATAAACAAACCAGCAAAAAACTACGAACAATGTTTTTTTAAAATTGTAAATTACGACTACGTTCTACTTCTATGTACATTTTGGTTGTCCATATTTCGGCAATACAGTAAAATAAAAACATATTTTGAAGCGTTGTTAGTTTATTTACAAATCGTTTTTTTTAGCACCGATGCCGAGCTTGTAGAATTCCTATGATGTGTGTTTTTTTGTATCTGCTAACACAATACTATGTTTTACCATGGCCCGATTTATTTTAGATATCTGAAATTATATGTGATTTGGTGACTTTAGTTGGCCAAAAGTAGAAAAAGTCAACTTCTTCAGCACCAGAACGGAAAAAAACTATAAAATAAATTTGTCGGTTTTTCAACTTTCTATAGCTTAGCAAAATCTGTTGAATCGAGTCAAAATTGTAGAGAATGTTTATCAACCATGCCCCTTTATTCAAATAACCTCAGATCTAATTTTCAATATTTCTGCACTCTTCCGCAGAATTTAAATTTTAATAAATGGTATTTAATATGAAAAT